TGGATGTTTATCTTTGCTGGGATCCTATGACCCCTGCTGATTTCCTGCCCCTGAGGCAGGGGGCTGGACTTGATGATCTTCTGAGGTCCCTTCCAGCCCTAATGTCTATGAAATCTATGAAATCCTCTTTGGCAGATGTTAGAGTGCAAGTTAGTGGATCAAAAATGAAATGTGCCACAGTTATTGTGTTTCTGTGAGATGTGCAGGGGGAGAACAATGACACATTATATATGATGTTTTAAATCAGAGTAATTGGCATTACAGCACTGTATTTTGCAACCAGGCAGTCAACAGGCTAGTTCAGCATCATGGCGGAAGCACATAAGATGCTCCTTACAGCCAGGCTTCAATGAGTTATTTTCAGTTGTGGTAACCTACAAAATCTTAAATTTCATTGGTTTGGTTTCCAGAGAACTTGCCCCCCTGTATACCAGATTTCCAAAGCTGTGATCCAGAGACACACTTGCATCCAAATTTCTATTGTTTAAGATTCTTCTCCCTTTGATTTTCTAATTCATTTAAATGGCCAGCAATTATATTTCTTAACTTTTAGAATTTCTAGAAACAAGTTTGATCAATGGAGCAAATAATTATTAAGGCAAAAGGAGCAGCAGTGTAAAAGAAAGTATTTTATTATGAACATGAACATTAGGTAAGGCTGCTCATAGCATGAGCACATCTTGTAAAACTAAGAATCAGGCTTTAAGCACAATTTCACATTTACAAGTTCACACTTCACTGTCTATGAATATTCTCTTAATTCTCCCTTAAAATATGATGTTTTCACACAAACCAATCATTAAACTCCTCTCAGAAAATGCAGAATAAAGAAACAAAGCAAAGAAAAGGTTGCAATATTGTTTAATCAATTCAATTGGTATTTCTAGATATTTTCGATGTTTTGCTCAGTTCTCTTTTGTTTTCTTTAATGGATAAAATGTTAGGAGCGATGTGTAATCTGTATTCTTTTGCTGTTGGTATAATACTTCCCATAACTATCACAGACTACTTCAGAAGAAAAGAAAAGAAGTAACCCTGCCAATTTCTCTGTTTAAACCTACCTCTTTTCTTAATATCTCTCTCTTATTACGATCATTTCAGCTCATTACAGCTCCCTTCTTAAGATTTAAAAGGAGCCAGTGAAGAATGTTATCAGTCCTAAAACAGCCAAGCTGTATTGGATTATGTACAAGGTCCACCAGAAAAAAAAAACCCAAAAAGCCTTTGAGTCAAATCAACAATTTGTACAAGCAGTCCTCGTTCAAAAATTGACAGCACATTTTTTATTGTGCAATCCATACCAAGGTATTTATATTATGGCAACTGAAATTCTTGTAACTTTTTTAAGTATCCATATTCAGTATTCCAAAAATAATATCACCTTTTCTTTTTGCCAGGGTCAATTTTTCATCTCTGTTCAGGACAGATGAACACAGATGACGTCATTTGATAGTATTGACATTGGTCCCAAAAGCTAGAATTCCAGAGCCAGTAAATACACAGAAACTTATGCCTTGATATTAAATCAGCAGGCTAGAGATGCTCTGTGCCATTGACCTTAGAGAGGTTCTGTCTTGACCTCATCTCAGCTTATTTGAAATATCCAGGCGAATTAATTCTGTAAAACTGAGCCTGGATGTTTCACAAGAAGCAGTTACTTGCTCGAGATAGAAATACCAAAGAAGCAACTTCTCCCAATATTTTGACATTAATACAACCAATCGCATCTAAACCAAAGAGTGCAAGGACATGTTCAAATTTAAGGTGAATTGTTAACACACTATTTACAATTTTTTTAAATCCTTAAAGGATAGGCATAGTAGCTGCATATTATTACTGAAGCCAGAACTCACCAGGATTTAAAGTAAGATTACTTAGATGACAATATCTACAGTTATAACAGGAAATATTAAAGCACAAGGAAGGAAAATGGAAAAGTTTCAGCAGGAGAAAGCTATCCAATAATTTTTTCTCCATGGGGTTTTATCCATCTTACTCTTCAGCTGCTGTTATTGGTCACTTTATGAAAAGAGTCTGGCCCAGATGGACCACTGCTTTGATCCAGTCTGGCAATTCCTATATTATTCTATCAAAAAAAAGTTGATAAAATATTTTAAATCAATACTTTTTACATTGCAAATACCAATTCCATGATTACACCAGTCTGTTTTGCCTTGCTTCCATCTATACAACCTTTCATCTCCAATTCAGTGCATCATGCTATTATCATCTTGATATGCTTTAGTGTTGTTAATAGAGTGTTATGCAAATGGTCCCTAACCTTAGGAGCTTCCTGTCTGTATCAGACAAACAGTGGAGTTCTGATTCACAAAACAGCAGAGGAAAGTCCACCTTCAATACTGTAAAAGTACATTTTGGGCATCATCACAACAAGAATTGACCAAAATCAATCGAAGCTGGGAACTGTTTAAAATGAAACAAATGAAGTCATTTGGCAGGTTCCAAGTAACAGATAACTATATAATAATAGCTTTCTTGTTAAGTAGAGAGATAGCCAGCTGTGTTAGTCTGAAGTTAGGCAGAAGGATCCCTTCACAGAGTCTGTTGAAGTAAACTACTGGTTGTTAACAAAAGGTTGCTATGCATCTCTGATTTAGTTTATCTATAAGATGCAAGTCTACCATGCCTTCTGTCCTTTGTGCTAATTATCATTTTTTTAAAAATATTTGCCAATAACATCATGTAGCAGGTTGTTACTCCTTCAGGCCCAGGAGGTAGGAAAGCCTTCCCCCTTTCCTATCTCAAACTAAACAAAACAGCAGAACCCGCCCCCCCCTAGCCTTTCAGCATGATCTGGGTTGAGGTCCAAAGAGTTCAGGGTCTGAGAAGAGAAATATTTCCCCCAGCTCTGGCTCAGTGGAATTGGGGTCAACCTGGCTGAATCTTTGAGCCAGTCATAACAATTTGGCCATTGAGCTCCAGTCTTGCCCTATCACCACAGGGTAAGATAATTGGCTGGCCACTGCAGCTGTCATGTTAACTTCCTGTCCCCCAGTGGTCAAGCTTAGATGCTTTATGGGGTCTAATTGGGTATCTCCATGAATACTTCATGACATACACATTCATTTACTGGGAGGTCTGCTGGATTCACAAATCATTCATGGACAAAGATCTGGCTAGACCCCGAGTCTGAGCCCTACAACACAGAAATCCCCTATTTTTACTAGGACCACATACCTCCTCTGGTCTGGACCGCATTCTGACATATATGTGTGGGTATATCTTGGCCATAGGGCCTCTGAAGGCAGTTCTATTATAAATAGCCCTTCCCCCTGGAATTGAAATGAGTTATCACAGTACCCCTTCCTCCTCCTGGGCTGTGGGGCTGCCCTAGGTGGCTGTCTTCTCCAGAGACCCTCGCCTTGGCTGGGGTTTCAGAGGAGAAGGAGGTTGCACCTCTACAAGAAGCATCTTTAGAGACTCTGCCTATTTCCTCCACAGTCCAAGCTCTCAGCCCTGGAACATGCTGGCCTTCCAAGGAATCCATACAGCCTAACTCCACCTCCAGGAAGTCCTCTACTTTCTAGGTGGCTTCCTCAAAACTGGTCCCCCTGTCACAATACACCCACCCCCAGGCTCCTAGGAAGATAGCTCTAGGGCCACCAGTGCTACTATTTCCACAGAAGACCATGAGTCAGGGTTTAGCCAGCAGATGCACCAGTCATTTAATTTCTGAGCCTTGGCTTGAGGTCATGCATTTGGGCACCAAGTCTCTTGTTGAAACTTGTGGCAACAGGCCTCCTCTGTGAGACCAAACTGGTTTAGTATGGTAGCTTTAAGGGTCATATAATCCTGGGTTGAATGTGATCCCAGGGCTCTGTACCTCACCCTCACAGCCCATACATCCTGTGGTCACTGATATGCCTTGGCTACCCACTCAAATGTTACAAGGAAGGCATCTGGATCATCTGCATATCTCATCTGGGTGAGTAATCCACTCTCTATCCTCTGGGAACCAGGTGACTCACCAACTGGGGTGGGGATCTGTCTTGACTCCAAATACTATTTCAGGAACTATTTCCTGCTGTTGCTACTGCTCCCTCTGAAACTGCTACAGTTGCTGTTGCTATTCACTCTGGAACTGTTGCTACTAGAGCTGGAGCTGCTGAAAAAGCTGCTGTTGTTGTTGCTGCAGCCCCTCCAGCCATTTTAACTGGACTTCTGTCTCCATTGCTGAATTTAGAATCATAGAAAATTAGTGTTTGAAGGGAACTCAAGGCTTGGGACAGGCATTACGCATAAACCAGTTTAAGTGATCAGAAACTCGTTTAAACCTGTAACAGAACAGACATTCAGTGCATGTAAACCAGTTTGAAAATGGCCAAAATTGGTGTGAGATACACCTGATTGAATGTAGTATCAGACTTAACTGATTTGGTTCAGACCAGTTTATGCAATTTCTGTCCCAGACCCCTTGCTGGTTTAAGTTAAATCAGAGACCCCCAACATCCCAGCATGCTCTCTGGGCTGTTCCACAGCAGGGATGGCCCATCCCCTCTGTTATCTAGCCAGAGCAGGGGTGGGGCATGGCCAGACACTGGCTTGCCATGGCCCCTGAGGCAAATAACTCCTTCTGTCCCCTCTCTCCCTGCTGGCAAACCCTGCAGACTACAGTTGGGCTTTGCCAGCCACAGCTGCACCTCCACAGCTTTTCTGCAGCCAGGCAGAAATTGAGTTAATTCCTCCCTCTGTCCAGCCTGCCTGCAGCCAGGAAAGGGATTAATTCCACAGTGGTCCCAGAGTGGGGAAGAGAGGCAAAACCTGCACCAGTGAACCCAGAACTAAGACCTTCAGGACCAGACTGAGAGGTGGGAGTGTTGGCAAAGACTTGACAATCATCACACATGTGCTGGAGATGGAGTTAAGGGAAGCTGCAGACAGCTCCTGGCTGGAAGTTGCAGACTGAAGAATGCAGAGAGCTGCATTTACATTATAAAGCAGAACTTTTAAAACCAAAACCAAGCCTGACTGTAAGGAGACACTCAGGATTAGTAAGACTTATGCAAGGCTTTCTCTTGTCTTCCTGCTTTACATTTTAAGTTAGACTATATTGTGTGTGCTGTGTTCCATTGGGCTCTATCTTAACTTAGGTGAAGATGTCAGTAGTTCCCTGCTGTATGCTTTGCAAACTTATGTGTTCAATACATGCTTGCTTCAGAGAAAGGACTTTTTTCCAATCCCTACTCATCAGTCTGGCAGCAGTCCCCCCTCCTCCCCCCATGTCCAGGCTGGTGGCTGGCATCCTGTGTGTCCTGATAGCCCCAGCTGGTGCCTGGCCATGCTCCCTCCACTCCAGCAGAAAGGGGTGAGAGCCTCAGAGGGTGCCTCTCTTCCCTTCCCTCCGGCAGCGGCTGGCAGGCTTGCTCTAATACTCACTGGCTTCTGACTTGTGCCACTGCAGGCACGTGCCTGCATTTCCTGATTAACAGAGAATGTCTGTCCAGTTATTAACCAGTTTAAGCTGTGCAGCTTAGACTAACCTGTAAAGAGTGAATCAGTTCAGGCTCAGGCTTTTTGATGTCTGTCCCTAGCCCAGGAGGTCATCTAGTCCAACCTCCTGCTCAAAGCAGGACCATCCCCAACTAGGTCATCCAAGCCAAGGCTTTGTCTGGATGGGTCTTAAAAACTTTGAAGGCTGGAGAGTCCACAACTTCCGTGGGTACCCTGTTCCAGTGTTTTACTATCCTCCTAGTGAGAAAATTATTCATAATGTCTAACCTAAACTTAGTTAACTCTGAATGTCTGGATTCTTCACCACAAGTAGCAGGTTGTTACTTCCTCAGCAGGCCCAGAAAGCAGCTTTCCCCCTTTCCTTCCTCAAACTAAACAGAATAGCTAATATCAATAGAACTCCCCACCTCATCTATATATCCATCCATCTGTACATCTGTCTGTCTGTCCATCCATCCATCCATCCATCCATGGCAAAAGCTCCACCACAACACTTAAGTACTTCTTTTCGTCTCAGAATCCCTCCCTCCCCAGCATCATCTCTCTGGGAGTTTTTAACTTCCTCTAGGGACAGCCAATCATCCCTGCCAGCTTGCCCAGAGCTCCTAGGCAGGCAAGTTATTACTTTCTAACCCCTTCAGCTGGCTAAAGCCCTTGAGCTATTCACCTTGTTATACTTCATGCATCAGGGAAAACAACACCTGGAGCAACTTATGATGAGCCCATGAGGGATTCCCTACAACTATAAATCTTCCTGCCAGCTCTTGAGAATTGTATAAATATCCTTAGGCTATAACCCTACCCTCTTTTTTAGTAGCACTTCCTTCACCATTTCATTCTTAGATGTTGCCCCAAATGGTACAGTGATAACAATGTATCTAGAGGAAAAGAGAAGAATTTTGTTTTCTTTTCTCCTCTCCTTTTTTTCCTTTTCTTTTTGTTCAGTTATTATTTACATCCCTATATCCTATGTAAACTTTTAATGATTAATCAGTACAATCAGGTTACTTGTGAAGTGAAAAAGTTCTTTAGAGTGGCGTGCAGTATAGTCCCAAAACATTTTAAATTTATGCTATTTCTTTTGAAGAACAAAAAGAAACAGATAAAAAATGTAACTGCCATTGCCATTATATGATTCTGTTTCTGTTTTTTGATCAAAAATGCACTTATGAAAGAATGATCTTACAATAGGGTATGCTAAATTCAGTATTCACATCCACATATAGAATAATATTATGTTTTCATTATTTTAAAAATTGTATTCTAGCAGTACCCTTTGTTAATGCTGGAATATCAGTTATCTCGGCAGGGGAGGGGGAAAGGAGATAAAAAAGAAAAAAGAAAAATATTCAAGACTGAAGCTTTTGTGAGCTAATGGGACAATGACCAGCAGACACACAGTGCTCTTGACATACCTATTTCTAAAATATATTCTCATCTGTTTGTGATACATTTTAGTATATGTTACTGAATCATATGTGCAAAATAGGTATGTGCTTGATAATTATTTGATATATAAGAAGGATTTTTTTTAAGTTGTAGAGCAGCCAGATATAATAGAGGTCTACATTTATTAATTGTGCAACTGACAAAGGAAGAGTTATAACAGTAATATTATTAGTATCTTAACTTGATATATTTCTGTCATGCTGAAATATTCTAAATTATTTTTGTAATATTGTAATTGTACATGATTCTATATTACAGATAAGCTCTAATAAACAATGGTTGTGCTTAAGGTCTTCCTAACATCGCACCCCTGGAGTCAATGAGAATAACAATATTGACCTCAACAGCAGCAACATTTACCAGCAGACCAGTATCTCTCTTGTATTACCATTATGATTTTCATAACATCTCATAAAAGACTGAAACAATTCTTCTCAGAGCCACAGGAAACAGCTTACAAGAAACTCTTTTAAAGAGAGAGAAAGAGAAGAAGAAGAAGAGAAAGAGGAAACTGATAAAGGTTTCAAACAGTGTTTCATTTCTAGAGAATTTCTCAGAAATTTGCGCAGCTATAAATCTTTCTAGGAGAAAAAGCAGTCCTGCAGCTGTCCCCTCTGCCCTGATGACTTTGCCTTCCCCAGATTGGGGTGACCCAGTTCCCCAGACTGGGAGGAGGAGTCAAGTGGCAAGGAAGTGTACAAGCATCCTTTTTTGCAGTGAAAAACTGCCTCACAGAAGAGATCTTGTTAAAGAAAGAAGATCTTTCTCCTGCAGGAGAGACATTTTTCCAGTGGGAGAAAGTTAATGAATGTTTATACACTTGTGGTTTCTATCAGGAAAGTGGCGGTTCTCTCAGTAAAAACATAATGCCTGTGCACAGCCAATATTAGGAGGGAAGTGGCTTAGGAACTAAGACTGTATCAACTGAAACAAATTCATATAACAAGTACACAAAATCTTGTTCTAGGCTAGTTAGGTCTATATCCCTGATACAAGGAGAGCAAAGCTGTCTTGGCCAGGAAGGAGGAACAGAACTATGCTAAGAGGATAACTCAGGCCACCTAACAGTACTGGCATAATCATGCTGGTGAGGGAATTCATTGTAGGGTTCACAATGCTGCTTCCTTTAAAATAGCACAATTCTGCCTAAACTTTAGGTTCATAATTGCATGTAGGTTGAGGAATTGAGGTTTGTTCATGTTCCTTCAGAGCCATGGCATGGTGCTTGAGCCTGCCTGCATTTCTATAAAGATGTCTCTACTCTCCCTATAGCACCTGTGCATAGAGAAGGATTGCATTTTCCTTTCATCAGCAGCAAGCAGGGCAGGGTGCAAAAGCAATTCACATCAAAGGAAACTTATGGGATGCAATTTTACTTTTCTTTATGCAATATATTATTAGATGCATAACTCCTTTAACAGATAATGCTCTATGACTTGTATTAATGAATAAAGGATGTCAGCTGGTTCTGTAAATAAGAAGCTGGCACAAGAGAAGCAGTGGCAGCTGAATGATGTAACAAATAGTGATAGGAGATGAAAAACCTTCAGTTCAGATAAGCATTCAAAAGTTCAGATGCTTGAGAGAGCCTTATCCAAGATATGCAAGCCTTCTGGGCCAAATATTCAAACATATTATGCAATGTGGCTTCTGCATTCAATTGCAGGTAATTTTTTTATCCACATAATGAAAATAGAATTTACATTTATAACTGCTTGATTTGAAGTCATGTATATTCTTGTGCCTGCCAGAGGCATAACAGGGCAGGTCAGTGCCCTGGAGAGCAGCAGCTTCTAGCTGCAAGTGCAGTCATATTGCCATGCAGCCAGCCTGTAGAGTCTATTATCCACCCCACTCCCCACAATGGTATGCCTAAGGCTGCTTCTCCAGGGTGCATCTACATAAGATACTACTGTGCAGTAGCATCTGAAAAAAACTGTGCCAGGACGCTACTATGCAATCATTTAGTACTTGGTTATGCAAGTGCTAAATGACTGTGCACTAACAACTGCACAGTCTGCCATTCATGTAGACATGGCTTCCGTCACCCTGATTTAGTTGCACTACTAGTGCCCACAAATATATATCTGCAGAAGAAAGTCCCAGTCAGGACAGGGCTGAGCATCCCTCACCCACCTAATTGGAGAAGCACACTCCCAGCCCAGTGAGGCTACTCTGGAGTTTGATTTTGAGGTAGGTAAACACCTATTTCTGTAGCTATGCTTGTCTCC